CCCCTCTTTTATTAAAGAGAGCGAAGTGACCCAAATAGATAGATTGTAAACTGAGTATATTTATAGGTAGATTAAGTTTGGGTTTAATACAAACTGTTAGTTACCGATAGAAATGCAATGTCATTTAACCAATGGTTGGCTTTGAACGACCTTGGTACCTTGTACCAAATTTCTCGGAGTATGACGTGTCATACTCCTGAAGTGTGAAGTGTCACACTTCATGTATCCAGGGCTTGTTGGTGGTATGGGTGGATTCCAAAATGACCAGTAATTACTGTAACAGCTTTGTATTCAGTCGTACAGACTGAAAACACCGTACTACGGGGTCTCTATACGGGCACACCTACCCAATCTCAAGAAAGGAGTGTTAGCCAATGAAACCACAGAAATCCGAGATCAGGATAATCGTTTCTCAAACAGAAACGCTGATCTACCGGCTCTTCAGATTCTGGGATGTTGGCAAATTATTCATTCACTTGGCGTTTGTAAGCAACCAGAGGGTGCGGCTTATCTGCTATACAAAATCGGATGCTTTTCAATACAATTTCCATTGGATGGAAATCGATACTTCTGTATGTATTATGCAAAGCATATGGTATTAGAACTACTATGGTTATCACCACGATGTCGTGAGTCACGCTTCGACTAGAAAAGACGCGCTGTAACGTTTAGCCCTTCGTGGTGGCACTTGTTAATCAGCGCAGCCAATTGATCCACTTCCAGCAATTTCCTAGCACCATTGTTGAACTCAACCGCCCAGTTATAGACACCTCTTGGCCCAATACAATTTTGCCAATCCACAACTCGGCCAGGTACATTTCTCAACGTGATTTTTCCTTCGGTGTCTTCAACTGGAAGTTGTTTGGTCACGTTCCACCCAATTGGAAAGGATGGTTTTTGAACAAATTGTTTTTCCAGTTTTCCTACAGTCGTCCTTGCTCAGACAATTTGTTTTTTTCGCTGACTCACACTCTGTTTCCGAACAGGCATGTGAGCGGTTGCTGTTTGCAGGTCATATTGCTTCATCAGGGCAAGTGTTGCAATAACGTGCGTACATGGCTGTATTCAGATGTATCAGCACTGTGTAGCGCTGTAACAGCAGCATCTTCTGTAAAATGGGTTGGGATAAACCGGAATGAACTATGTGCGACGTTAGAAGAATCACCCTCAGGCGGCGAGACCTCTGGATCTTGTCCATCGTTGCTCATGACTGCGGTTCAGCGTCTGTTGGCGAATGCGCCGTCTCGTGTCATACCAGGATGTCTAAAAATATCAATATGTTGTAACACACACAGCTGTTATATAAATAAACGGGACAGAGTACATCAATACCACCTTTTAGCTATTGAAAAACATCCTTTTTTAGAGGTGTTGAATTCAATCTTTTTTTGTATTGAAAATCCTAAAATACAGATGCTTCGTGGATACCGGGAGATTTCGCACATGGCCGAAGAGGACTTACTTGCCTCACGCCTAGTACACATACAGCGACGCCACAAGAACGAAGGAAAGGACCATGCAGCATTGCTAGTCAAATGTCAGGAATACTGGAAGAAGGGCTTGAACCAGCGAGATAAAGACTTGCAGACTACTGGCGTTGAGAACATTAACAAGATGCGGAGACGTAACGAGCCTGGAACCCCTCACATTGCGCCGACAAGCGATTCTGACCCAGACAACAATTCTAAGCTGTCAATATGGGAAGCCACCAAGGAAGAATTATCTGTCGAGGTCGTGAGTGTACTGCTTTCAGAGGAAAGAGAAAAGGCTCGTCGACTTAACTACAAATTTGTGGTGAAGACAACTCGCTCCGATCACGGCGAAACTCTTATTCAGATTGCATGCTGGTGGGGTCACGAGGTACGTGGCACGATGGCATAACCGACACTGTGTAGTCTAACCTTTTGCGGCCATTGCAGCACCTGATGAGATTCTTTCTGGGAGAAGGCGCTAAAGTTGACTGTATCGATTGCACGTCCAATCGCTTTTCGCTGCTACACGATGCAGCTCGACGAGGTCATTCGAATATCGTACTTGGCTGCTTTCTAAGGTTTCTTGGGTCAATGCATTTATGTTAATTAGCTGCTAGATTCGAATTCTGCTTGAGCATTGGCTTTTGTGCAACGTGACCAACGAGAACGCGCCTCATGCGAAATGCAAGTGTAGACACTCTTGCGACGTTCTGTCGGCCCATACGTGCGTAGATGGCTGTATTCAGATGTATCAGCACTGTGTAGCGCTGTAACAGCAGCATCTTCTGTAAAATGGGTTGAGATAAACCGGAATGAACTATGTGCGACGTTAGAAGAATCACCCTCAGGCGGCGAGACCTCTGGATCTTGTCCATCGTTGCTCATGACTGCGGTTCAGCGTCTGTTGGCGAATGCGCCGTCTCGTGTCATACCAGGATGTCTAAAAATATCAATATGTTGTAACACACACAGCTGTTATATAAATAAACGGGACAGAGTACATCAATACCACCTTTTAGCTATTGAAAAACATCCTTTTTTAGAGGTGTTGAATTCAATCTTTTTTTGTATTGAAAATCCTAAAATACAGATGCTTCGTGGATACCGGGAGATTTCGCACATGGCCGAAGAGGACTTACTTGCCTCACGCCTAGTACACATACAGCGACGCCACAAGAACGAAGGAAAGGACCATGCAGCATTGCTAGTCAAATGTCAGGAATACTGGAAGAAGGGCTTGAACCAGCGAGATAAAGACTTGCAGACTACTGGCGTTGAGAACATTAACAAGATGCGGAGACGTAACGAGCCTGGAACCCCTCACATTGCGCCGACAAGCGATTCTGACCCAGACAACAATTCTAAGCTGTCAATATGGGAAGCCACCAAGGAAGAATTATCTGTCGAGGTCGTGAGTGTACTGCTTTCAGAGGAAAGAGAAAAGGCTCGTCGACTTAACTACAAATTTGTGGTGAAGACAACTCGCTCCGATCACGGCGAAACTCTTATTCAGATTGCATGCTGGTGGGGTCACGAGGTACGTGGCACGATGGCATAACCGACACTGTGTAGTCTAACCTTTTGCGGCCATTGCAGCACCTGATGAGATTCTTTCTGGGAGAAGGCGCTAAAGTTGACTGTA